GGTCTTCACAGGTCTCCCATGTCCAGCCCGACCCCCCAGCGCCGTGCCCCCCCCGGGCCGCCCCGCCCCGGGGTCCGCGCCGCTCCGTCCCGCCCTGTGGTTTCCCCCGATCCTGGAGGACCGCCGCCGTCTGTCCCCTCACGGCCCAATAGAGCGCCCCCACCTGGAGTCCCCAGGTGAGTGCGGTCGGACCTGGTCCGACCCGGTTCTGCAGGTTGAGAAGTTGCAGCGGTTACTGTTGACATGTTAGCATCCCTCCAAGCTACCGCTACAGGTTAGCATTAGTTGGATGAAGCCTCGTTACGTAGCGCAGCGTCTCTGTGCCGTTCAAACTGGCCACATGACCACAGGGAGGGACTGACCACCGTCTGGACGGGGAGCCCCACTGGTCCAATCAATCCCACTGGTTTCTCTGGTCCAGTGACATTAGCAGGCGGGTCGCGTTGCCAGAGAAACCAGGGGCCTCATGGCTAAACGTTCACACAAGAAATGTGCAGCGAGATATTTTACGCACAAGTCGGCATGTATGAAAGTGAACATGGCGTCAAAATTTGAGTAAAAATACGCAATAAAAACAAACTACAGAGTCAAAACTCACCTGAATCCACTGAAACCTGATTCAGTTATTTAGACCAAGAAGCATCAAACCTTATGTTTTTATGATTAGAATATTTTCTTGTTTAAACGATGAATCTGAACCACATGTATCCTCAATAACCTGACACTCACACAAAACAAAGAAAATAAAATAACGGATGGTAAAACTTCACTCCAATGTCAATAATAATTTGCTCAGTTTGTCTCAGAGATGCAACTCATCGTCTGAAAGCATCTGTGGCTCATTTCATTTTTTTTAATAACTTTATTTTTGTTTATTTTTGGAGTAAAATCAAGAAAAAAGGCCAAACAATACACAGAAACTCTTGGTTAAATAACACATAACACAAGGCGACCCTTTACATCCAGTTAGTCCTGGAGCTCTGAGCAGAACTTGGAGCGGTACCAGCGGTACCGGTACCGGTCCAGCTGCAGCCGTCCTCCAGTGGAGCCGCCCACTTTGTGAAAGCGCCTTATGGACAGAAAGCATCTCTACTCTGTGAATGCAGCTTCTGCTGCAGCAGGTCCGACCCGGACGCTCTGCTGCTGCAGCAGGTCCGACCTGAACAGCTTTACTCTTTACTTTGGAGGGTTTTCTCTTTAAAATGTATCTATTTTTGTGAGGTGACATCATGTGCCCTCAAAGCACCTTTTAAATAAAATATATAATTATTATTGTTATTATAAATACTCATTCTGCTACAAACAAGGCCGTTGCCATGGTTACTGCTTCACGTGGCGGCAGACTTCCAGGTATTTATACTAATTTACATTAAAATGTGTTTATGGAGGCGACAGGCGGAGCAGCAGCTGTTTCCAGTAAATTGGGATGAATAAAGGAAAGGTGAGCAGGTGTCAGCCAACGGCTTCATACATCTGATTTCTTTTGTGTGCTGCACTTTTCTGAATTTGTCCGTACGCAGAGTTTCAGTTTCAGTGTGAAAAGTGTGCAGTGTTTAATCCATGAGGCCTGGTCATTTCTTCCCCAAGAGACTTCATGCTCACAAACAGCTCTGAGGCAGCTCCATGGTGTTCCTGGTCCGGGTCCCGGTCAGGCCCAGAACCGGACCAGGCCTGGACCAGGAGCCGTGTTCTGGTGCTTCCCTCTCATGTCCCGGTTTTGTTAACTGGGCCGAAGTGGTTCTGAAACAGTTTGTCATTCTGGGAAATGTGATCCACTTGGTTTTCAGGTTTCTGCTTCTAAAACATAAACTCTATGAACTGTGATTTCCCATCATCCAGCAGCACCTGAACACAGCATGGATGTGTTCAGGTGCTCTGGTTCAGAGCAGTGACTTCAGCTTCCAGAATGAATGAATGGATGAATGAACTTAACCATAAGGGGATAAATTCACATTACAGTCAAAAGACAAAAACCAACAAACAATCAGACTCGGGCGTAACTGTAGAAAGTTTCCCTGAAATGACTTTCTGCAAAAGAATTTCAGAACAAACATAATTCCTGCATTTTGTGATGAGATTTTGAGAAAATAAAAAATTTTTCAATTGTGACTTCATAAATGTTTTTAGAAAGATTTTCAAAAGTGGATATTGTAAAACAAATCTATTCTATCTTTAAGTTTTAATATCATAAAATTTGGTCTTTAACGGGGGATGAAGAGTTAAATTATGATATATTTAATCATCCAGTTAAGTTTTATTCACAAATGCTGCTTTCTAAAAGTCACCTCCATTTTTAAAGTGAAATAATTTTATTTTAGAGTGCTTAAACGTTGCAACATCACAAAAGCCAAATCTTTATACCAACATGTTAATATCTTAATATAAGATTTGAAATTTGTCTTGCATTTGTGACATTTTGTTTTATTCTTTTTATTTCTTCTTTTTTCTGCTCAGTGTATCATATCAATCTTTTTATATTAATTATATTAGTTGTGTTACCACCCCCACGCCACTAGAGGCAGTAGCAAGCCCGAAAAGATGTGACTATGGAGGAGATTTAGAAATACGCCGGAAGTAGGTTTGCCACCTTTCAGAAATCAAAATGAAGGTCGCCCACCGAGGCGCGTCGCCCTCATGTGGTGGGATGTCCGCTGCAGTGATGGACAGGGGCGGATCTAGAAAAATATCTATGTGGTGGCAACCCGTGAACCTTGTTGTCCATGACTGTCATAGGGTTGAATTAACCGCTAAATATTGCGTCGTTTTTTCAGATTCTATGGGTGATTGTGGTATTTTCCTGACCACCGATATTCCTGACTCAATGGGCAGCAATTAAATGGCGCATGTGTGGCGCACGATAAGTCATGTAATGTCCAGTCCAGTAATGTTTATAACTCCATATCAATGCTGCTGGCGCTCTATCCTTCTCTCGTACTTCCCGCTACTTAGCAGTGGGTGACAGGTTACGATGTGTTGCATTCAATGTTGTCGGAAAAAAGAGTTCCTTGCGCTTAATGTCCGATTTTCCATAACTATTTATTGAATTCATAGTCGCCAGCTGGGGTGGCAACTGCCACCCTATGCCACCCCAGTAGATCCGCCCCTGGTTTCCAGTAACAAAAAGTGTGTTATGATCGATTAAATCCGCTGATACGTCATTGTGCTGCTAAACACATAACGCTGAGTGGAGTGGAGTACCGCTCCAAGATGGCCGCCCTAAATCTCGTCAGCGACAATAGGCGAGAGCGGTCCATGAGGGTCTATCCTTATGTTATGTCTATGGATATGTAACCCAATATGGGCGGGGCGAAGGGCAGATGTGGAGAATGTGGGACACACTGCGACCTTTAACCTTCAACATGAAGGACACAAGGAGGAACAAGGGAGGGAGAGATTGGGACAGGTGTCTGAAACCAACATTAGACAACATGGGGGGGTACAGCTGGTGTGTGTGTGTTTGTAATACCTTGTGGGGACCATTTTCCTGACACATACTACATTGTGGGGACCCACTGCTCCTTGTGGGACAAAAGCCTGGTCCCACAAGGGGAAATACTGTTTTTGGGTCAGGGGTCAGATTTAGGACTAAGGTGTGAATTGCGTTTTGGTTAGGGTTAGGTATGTAAGGGTTAGGGTAAGGTTTAGGCCAGGGGTCCCCAAACTACGGCCAGAGAGCATTCAGTGTTTTTTTTTTCATATATTGTATTTTCCGGTTTATATGTGGATTTTTCTTCAACCACCAGGGGGCTTTTGAGCAAATGTGAAAC